GCGATGATGCAGTAGTCGAACTTGGAGGGGCCCAGGGGCACACAAATAAATACACACAGATAAAACGATTCCCCATATTTTCCATTATTTTCTAGGTTTTTGTCTTCCCTCCCACTCCCTATATTTTCCAATATTTTTCAGGAAATCGAGGATTGATTGTGTCTATGTTTCTCCCTTCCTGAGAACTCCAGCCCCAGAGATCCGACGCTCCCGAAAAATTGGAGCGGGCGGCTTCTGGCTGCTTTCGGCCTCCGAGGGCCCACGCTGGGCCCTGGGACCGTCAACAGAACGACGCAGGACGAAACACTGGTCCTGGGGAGAAGTGGTCCAGACCTCCGGGGCCCGCGCATCGACAACATTGGAGCAGCCGGATGTCTGGGTCCAGCCCGTGTTCATTGATCAGTCGCGATACGCTCGCGCCCAGGACCGGCCCCGCCCCCCCCCCTGGTTCGGGGACAGACAGACCCCCCTTTAGTAAAACGTGGTTTAATGAAAACCACGTGAGGCCCAAACCTGGCGGGCGCAAGCCCGGAAAATAACGGCCGCGGCGCCCCCTCGAGAACCGAAAACGGACAGTTCACTAATCGACGTGTCACCGTCGGGGGTTCTGTCCGCCCCCGACTGGTGGTCACGCCACGGTCCGCGCCGGCGCCCAGTGGAAACTGGCGCATTCCCAGGCGGCGCCGGCGCGGATCGTGACCTGACCGGCCCCCTCCCCCCACCCACCCCCAGTCGCGCCCATTCTCGCCAGCAGGGGGTGAAAAAACGGTCTCCTCGATGACGTCGGTGATGCGGCTCTTCCTGGAGGGGAAGGAGGTGACATTGTCTGGTCGCCAGCGCCTCTCCTCGTCGCCGCAGAACTCCTCCAGCCGGTGGAAGTGCACCGTCTGGCTCCTGGCGTCTATCCTGCTCACCTGGGGAATTTTTTTCAGCCTGGAGGAGGAAGAGGAGAAGCAAGGAGGAGGAGGAGAAGAGGAGGAGGAGGCGGAGGAGGAGGAGGAGAAGCCAAAGGAGGACGAGGAGGAGGAGAAGCCAGAGGAGGAGGCCGAGGAGGAGGAGGAGGAGGAGGAGGAGGAGGGAACGCGACCATGGTTCGGTCTCGACCGCTGTGCGCCACTCTAAAAAGGTCGCGAGGCAACCTGAGAACGCCGCACGAGCGACCTACCACAGGCACACTCACGCAGCGAGCCGTGGCTTGAAAAGCGAATGGGCGTGCCGATCCTGCTCGCATACGAACAGAGCCCGACGTGGATACGAACTGCTATCGGCCTAGATTTCCTGCCAGTGCAAATGCCCCTGGCCTGGCCGCCGTTCCCACAACGCCCTAGTCTAGAAAAAGCAAAGAGCGGCCCGGACATAGCCTTCCAAAGGTCCGCACACACACACACACACACACATGCGCGCGCAGCCGCAGCGCGGCACAGTGCAGGCCGACCGAGGGCGAAACGCCGTCCCACATCACGCGGCGAGGAAATACGAGATCCATCCCTAGGGGATCAGCAGCACCACTCGCGAGGGGGCAGTCGCGAGGGGAGCAGCAGTAGACAAGCGCGCTCCATTACTCGCAAGTTAACTACTAGCAGATGGCCCGGATCCGCCGCGCAGGATTACGAGTCATTCCATCGAGGAAGACATGTTTTCCGGACGCCTGCGGGTAGGCAATTTGCGAGTAGCGGAACGCGCGCTCGGTGAAGCAGGGGAGACAGGGGAGACAGGGGAGAAAACGGCAGAAGAGCAGCGCGGCAGTGCGAGACGAACAAGGAGGGGGCGCAGAAGCGGCCCGCCACGGCGGTGCGCACACAGAAGAGGCATCAGACAGCACCGGGGGGCCCTTGTGGGCAGGAAGGCAAGGGGGGAGTAGACAGCGACAGCGACGGCAGGAAAGGCGGAGAGCGAGACACGTACACACACGCGACCGTTTTCTGATTCGGCGTGTCAACATTGGGCGCAAGGGGGGGGAAGGGGGGGGTCTTGCTCCAGACCTTTGCGTGATGCGGTTTTTGAAGCAGTGTGCGTGCTATGGGGGAATCCCCACCTGCTTGAAATCTACCCCAAGGGTGACAGCACAGCAGCGTGCACCAAGGCGGGGTGCACTCAGGTCAATGATTCATATCCCATGGCGCTGCAGATGAGGGGTCGCAGGACGACAGTTGACGCACGCAGGACAACGAGAGACCTAGAATGCACCCGCGGAAAATGCCAGTGGGGCCATGCAGGTGCCGAAGCGGTGAACACAGATACACACACACACACTAATTTGGTCGTCGCGGCCTGGCCGCGTCGAAGCGGATAAGCTCGGCAGGCGGAGCAACGCGCACACGGCCAGCCCACTCAGAAGCCAGGGGCAAGGATCCAACCGAAGGGATCATCCATGCCGTGCGCACACCCCGGCGTGGGCTACGGGGGGGAGGTGTGCCGTTATTTTTCTCCGACCCACAACCACTCAGGATTGTTTGGGGCATCTGGAAGACCATCCATGTCCACAGCTCCTGCCCCACTG